GCTTTCACAGATACTTTCAAGGCAATTCCTTATATTTCAAAGTTACATGGCATCAACTATTCATTTGATTGGGCTTATTACACTAAACAATTTGTATCTTAAACTCGTCCCATTACCCACGCGACCCATTTACGTTTTCCTATATATATGTGATTCATATCACAATTAAAGTATGATTTCTAATCATATCCAAATCCTCTCTCCCTCTCTTGCACCTTTTTTTTCTTTTGTTCAGTAGTTGATTTGACTGTCAGAGTGCAAACGGTCGCCAGACATTTTTCTCGACGCAAACCTTTGTCTCCTAACGGGGTATTTTAGTGTGCATGTGATATCTACGTGGAGGGAAGTTGAAAGAGATTCTGTTGAAGTATTTTTTGAGGTCAACATGACCATCGCACGAGGTACGTATATTACAAATATCTAAGTATTAAAGTTTCACTGCATGGTGCTGAATTATTGAAAAAATTAAAAAATATCAAGTCATATGTTATTGCTGGCTATTGTAAGTTTGACATTTATTGACAAAAGCTATAAATTCTGTTTATTCATAATGTAGCACACATGTATATTACACGCGGACCATTTGAAAAATCAGTCTTATACAAATCACATGAATGTCTATATTTATGCATCTAATGAATATAACAAGATATTAAACATTTTACTTTAGAATCGAATGGACGTGAGCTACATTTTGTTAGGATCTAATGTGAATTCTTGATCGGCGAGGAATTTCAAGATTATTTTTTTAAACAATAGATTTATTGCCATTGTGATTATTAAATCACACCACACCAATCTCCGCTTTACCAAAACGTACAAGTACATGTGTGAATACATGTTGGCAGCATAATCTTGGTCAGCAGTAGAAGACAATCTTAAATATAACACATAAATTAAAATTATAGGGATTGATTAACTTTCGCATAAATTTCAAAGTTAAATACTATTATTAAGCTATTAATGCACTTTGCCAATGCTAAAGAGAATAAAATTGCGAGGGTAAGAGTACAGAAAAAAGAAAGAAAAAGACTAAAAAATATAGAAATTGATAAAAATAGGGGTTAATTATCTGAATCATCACTTAACTTTGGGTAAAGTTTTCACCGGGTCACTGAACTTTTAAAAGTTATCCCGTTAATCACTGAATTTTATAATTCGTTATCTCATCCGTAACTCAATATTTAAATTTGCCAATGACTTGGACGCTAAGCAGAAAATAGATTGTCACATATGCAATTCCGCGAGTCACGTTAGCAAATTCATCAATTTTTTAATTGTTTGTTGAATGAGTGAGGGATGTGATTACATTTGCAAAGTTCAGGCGACCCCTTGAAAATCTTACGAAAAGTTCAGTGACCAATTATATAATTAACCTCTTATTTACTCAAAGGTTAGGGAATGTTCCATAATAAATGAAAGGATATAGATCTATTGCACTCGTGAGAAAGGTTGACCGTACTTTCATTTTTCCTTAACTGATCATCATTAAAGTTTGTGCAGAGTTTTAAGTTGGTCATTAATATTATTTTTCTAACCAATTTAACTGCTAAAGTTTGTAATTTCATCATTTGTCACTTGGTTAAAAAAATAATATAAAATATGACATAACATTAAGTAACACATGTTAATTCACATAGTCAAACTCAATATTTCGAGTAAAATCAAGATTGTTGTAGTAATAACACTAAAAAATTTGAAATTTCAATCTCATGTGAATGAATTTTACCCATATCTTCTATATATTAAAAATGGTCATGTAACGAAATTTCTTATTTTTAACGGAAAAACTAACGGAATTTGTTGTTTTAACGAACTATATAACGGAATTTCTTGTTTTAAACAGGCAGTTGCACATTCTTTCAGTGTTTTTATCATAACTTTGTATTCTGATATCTGATTGAGGCGATTCAAAATGAGTTGGAAAGCTAACTCATCTGACTACAACTTTGATTCAGGCATCATTATCCAATTCGATCACTTTCTATGCCAAAAATAGGTCTCAATATGAGACTNTACAATTTAGCCATTTCTCCAAATTTGTCAATTTTTGCTTATTTTTTTCGATCTCACCAACTTACATTACAATATCAAAATCACACATCTAATTATTTATCAATTACATAAACATTACATCATTAATTATTTAATTAACCAGAAAAATTATATCTTTATTAATAACAAATTAATTATTAAACAAAACTATTAAATATAAATTAGGCAAATGTGCATTGCACCTAGTTTTATTTAAGAAATCTAAACGACAATGGAAGGAGTCCATCTTGAAATATAATGACCGTCGCTTCAAATTTAGAGATGGGAACGAGTTAGGCAGGACTGTAGCTTCCATCCCCTTCCCCTCTTATTAGGGATTTTCAAGATACGAGGATAGAGCCCGAATTAAAAATATTTCATTTTTGTTCTGTATAATTATTATATATATATAAGCAATTTAAATTGAGAAAGATATAAAATAATAGGATGAATTTGGGAAATTGGGGGTAGGTTGGGCGAAGAATTTTTAATCCTTACGAACTCAAATTTTACGTTAATAACCAACTTTGGAACAACTTTGGTGACAATTCATGAAATTAAGAGTATGTTTGAGCCACATTATTTTGGAAAAATGTATTTTGGAATAGTAGATTGATAGAGAATGTGTGCTTGAAAAAGAAGGAAAAATTATTGATGTGATAAAAATATTATTTTATTGAAAAATGTGTGGTTGAAAATGAGTATTAAAATAATGTATTTTGAAAGAATGTGTACCAACGACTAATTTTAGGTGTTTCGGTCCACGACAAGATAGTCGAAGTCTAANAATGAAAAATTCATAAGCAAGAGGTTAAGTACTTGTTCGGTAAGAATTTTTAGGGGAATAATAATTGATTTTTGAATAGTGATATGATGGGAAATGTGTGGTTGAAAAAGAAGAAAAAATTATTGATGTGATAAAAATATTATTTTATTGAAAAATGTGTGGTTAAAAATGAGTAGAAGAATAAGAATGAAAATTTTAATGTGACTCAAACATGGACTAACTGTTTTAAATGGACTTTAAAAAAATTATCCTGTCCTTAGTTTTCAACTCCTTCAAATACTTCCATTAGCATCCGAGCCTCTGTTCTAAATCCATTTTAATGAGTTTTTATTTTGGGAAAATGATTTTTGAAATATTGATTTTTTAGAGAGAACGTGTGGTAAAAAATATGGAAACAAATTATATTTATGTTTAAAATATTTTACTGTATGAATGTATGGTCGAAAATAAGTTCGAGAAAAAAAAATTGATTTAGGGTTTGTTTGAGCTCATTTTTGTTTAAAAAAAAAAAACCATTTTTGAACAGTGTATTGATAAAAATGTGCGGTTAAAACTTTTGAAATTGCATCTATATTATTTTAATGAAAAATATAAGATTGAGCCCTTGTTTGAGGTACGTTAAAATTTTTATTCACGTTCTTCTACTCATTTTCAATCATACATTTTTAATAAAATAATACTTTCCATCACATTAATAATTTTTTCTTCTTTTTCAACCACATACTCCATTAATATACTATTTCAAAGTAAATTCTTCTAAGTGGCTCAAACACAACCTGAAATTGGGTAATAATACTTTTTTTTTTTAAAAAAAGGGACTCGGACTGAATCTTGCCAACGGAAATCTGAGTAGTGACCTTCTTGGTCCGTAGTAAAAAGAGAATTTACAAAGTTTCTCCCAAT